TTTGACCTGTTTGAAGGCCCGTTATTATTTTTAGCTTATGTAAAAAAGTAGTAGGTTTTTTGTACTGATTTCATGAAACGACTTTTCACAGCTATTTGAGCTTTTCAAATGGTTGAATCACATCTTGAAAAGCAGAACAAGCCGATTTTTCGACTGCGGAGCAGACCGAGTACTTTTCAGATGGATATAAAACGCTGAAAAGAAAACATCATGAAATAAGTAAACTCCAGGTTCTCTCTTCTCTGAATCTGGGCATCTTATGTCGTAATTTGATGTAGAAGATGTTTTCGCCAAGCCCAGATAGTACGGTGAATCTTTATTTGACCTAGCGTTTCGACAAGATCGTCTTCTTCGGAGGTCTGAAAGATGATTGCAGTCTTGACTTATGAAATGAAGAGACCGACCGTTGATCCACCGTGGTAAGGATGTTAGTAGTCCGCAGGAAGTAGCGGACGATAGCCGCAGAGATGTTGAAGACGGGCGACACTGAGTGTCACTCGGTGTGTCACGTCTATATATACGGCAGGCTACTGTTCACATAGTGATAGAAAGGGCAAAAGATCACTTGTCATTGATAGGCATTCATTTTTGTTGTTCATGCTTGGGCTCTTAATTTAGATCCACAAAGCTTCTAGTATCTTTCGTGCAGAAATTTCTGTCTCGTACGCCAAGATGAAACATTTGACCTCAAAATCAGTTCCGCCATGTGCTTCAACTCTGTGTTTTCCCAACGGCGATACTAAATTCCTTCGTCTTTTGTTCGCTAAGTGCTCTTTGACTCTGATGTTTAATGCTCTGTCCGTCTCACCTATATAGAAAGCCTTGCAACTCAAACATTCTAGTTGGTATATGACCCCTGACTTCGCGCAATCTCCTACCTTTCCATATGAGCAAACAATGCATTGCTCTGATAAGCATTCTGTATCGTATATCCTGTTTCGCACCAACTGCCTCCTGATGTTATCGTTCGGGATGTTTACCAGTACAACCTCATTCTGCAGTTGTGCTCGCGCAATGCATTGATTCAAAGCTACACTCATTTCATCGGAGATGAAAGGTATGCAGAGCGGGGCTCTCTTGTCGGTACGTGCAATTCGACTATATAAACCAGATCGTGGGCGTCTAGCGTTATTCGGATCTGTGTAGCCGTTGCTGCGCAAAATCGTTGTAGCCAATCTAGTAGATGCAAGTCGTTCTTCTACGCCACTGCTAACTTCTACAGCTGTTCTGTACATGTTCTTAATAATTGCACATTTCGTCGCTGTAGGGTGCGCTGATTTTGCGTGTATTATGATATTCTTTGAGCTTACTTTCCTGTACCACTTCATCCGAATTCTACCACCAGATAAATTTATCGGGGTGTTCAGGAAAGGAAGCCACCCATCCGTCGGGGTTTCTCTGGTAAATCTAATGTACTGTGATTGCTGGTTTGAAAGTGCGAAATATTCGTACATTTCGGACTGAGTCGATGTTATCACACAGCAATCATCGATGTAGCGACAGCACATTATGGGCGAGCGTGCGAGTACTGGCTCCTCTATCTTACTCATAAAGCAAATCGCAAGGGTTGGGGCCAGTCGTTGACCCATACCCAGCCCCTGATCTGAGAATAGTAATTCCCAGAACATTTAAAGATGTTACACTTTAGACATTCCTTGATGAGGGTCAGTATGCTCGCTTTGCTGAGTCCAAAGGTGACCATATCGTTGTAGTGAAGTTCCACTATCTCTGACCTTGCTTGAAGTGCGGCATCGTTCTGAACATTAGTGTACAAGGATATTACGTCAAAAGACCCGATGACACTATCGTGTTCGATGTTCGTATCCAGCAACTTTTGCATGAACTGTCGAGTATTGGATAGATGCGATGGTACCTTTGGTCATAGTTGGTTTATGATCTTACCAGTGCGTCACCTCTGCTTCGCAGAGGCTCGCACTGGCCCTATTTTCTATATGCCTTACTCATTCCCACATAATAATGACATTGAAACTCACCGCGCTATGTAGGCTATCACGAATAATTTGTAAACAACTACTCATTCGTAGAGGTTTTCCATGTGAGATCGGTATTTTCGCGTAGATAAAACCTTTCCTAGAGGAACAGATGCAAATTCGAATAGGTTTTTGGGATTTTTATGGCTTGATAGTTGCCGTAAGGACAATAAAATAAACATAGTGGGTAACATCTCTGTACAAAAATCTTCTCAAATGATCAGGTAAAGTCTTGAAAAATTGACCGTTTACACAGCGAATGTTATTTTGGCGCTGTTTTCGTAAAGTAGCAAAGTTTTCATTACTTTTCTAGGCTAACGTTTATGGCTTGCACATTAGCTTGTCAAATATATCCTTAGCTCTGCAAAAAGTAGTACTACGGACCCAAATTTGCTGGCCAGAAGAAAAGTGGATCCGTTTGACGCGCAATTTTCAACGGATCCACTTAACGGATCCACTCATGCTTTTGTATAGTGAGCTTTCATGCTGGAAGCGTGCGCTATGCAAAATTTGGGCTAAGGACGTTGGCTGGAACACGCTCTACGAATTTCATGACAGACAGAGATTCACACACACAGACAAACGTAAACAACCCTTAGCCCGTTATTATAAGTTATGATTGAGAAACCATGATATTCTGTAGGTGGGGCCGCTAACACAACTTATTATAGGGCGTGCCATATAGGCTGCTGGTGATATAGAGTTATTTTCGTGAGCTGCTATTTTATAAGTAACCAGATGGTAAAATACTGTACAGATCGGATTGTCCATTTTTAACCTGCTAACTAATCTTTCATCAAGGCCTGCAGCCCTGGCTACAGAAACCCAAACTTCATTCAACCTTTTACATTGCATCAAGAAGTCTCGCTTCGTCACTTGCTTGTAGATTGTCGCGTTGGAGAGATGCAATTCTGCAATTTCTCGGTCAGACTGCGGCATTACTACAAATTCGCCACCCTTGTCACTAACTGAGATACGGATGAATTGTTGTTTGAGCAAATCGCGCACATCTTTGAAGCCCTGCCGTTGTTCCCACGTCAAATTAGTTTGACGTTTGCGTTTGAAATCATTCAAAACTTTTCAAAACTTTAAAAACTTCAGTCGAAAGTACGCCGAAGTATCGTCCGCTACTTCCTGCGGACTACTAACATCCTTACCACGGTGGATCAACGGTCGGTCTCTTCTGCCAGCGTGCCTCTCTGTAGCATGAGACGAAGTCTAGACTCGATAAGTACGGAGATGGCGTTTGGCGGCGTAGTTTCATAGATCAAGACTGCAATCATCTTTCAGACCTCCGAAGAAGACGACCTTGTCGAAACGTTGGGTCAAATAAAGATTCACCGTACTATCTGGGCTTGGCGAAAACATCTACTACATCACATTATGAAATTGTTTCTTTTCTGTATATTAACTTTTACAGTGTAGATACATTCTATGAAGAAAGTATGAAAACTTATATGAGCAAAGTGTCGGTGCCAGCTCAAATGGCACCCAGCTAACACGGTGCCAGCTAATTCAGAAAAAAGTTCAGCACAGCTTTTATTCGCTAAGTTTTCATAATTTTTGGGTTGTAGTTCGGGCCCCACAACGCGCATGCCAGATTTGGTGTCATACTGTTGCGTTTTGGCTGAAAACAATGCCTTTGTTTGATGGACAGCATGCCGGTGGCACGCCGGCGGCATTCTTGCGGCTCTTCTCCGCCCCGGACCCCGGAAAAACAATCCCCTTTGCTTTCCTTCCTAGAAACGATATCCAGCTTGACCAGGTGCCAGCTGTGCCGAGCCCTGTATTAGGTTGTCCAGAAACTGACAAAGTCTTCGCAGAATTTTGCATTGAAAAATGAACTATGTTGCAGAATTACATATTATTTTGAGATAAGCATTTGGTTGGACAATTTATAGCTCCTTATTAAAATGATGGTTCAGCTGGGAACATTTACATCGTATAGCCACAAACAATTACTATCAGGATATCCACATGATTTTTAATTGTATTTAGTTTCATATTTTTACGCTTCTGAACAAATCTGTGCAAATCATGATTCTCCGTGAATCTCGAACATCCTCGCTATTCTGGATGTCAAGCCAGCCTGCGACGTACGCGACCTTCTCACACCATAAAGATATGGCGCACGAACTAAGTTGCTCGCCCAGTCTGGCCCAACCCTAACCTCAGGATATCTCCAGTCTGCCCAACTCCCATCAGTCCTGCTGACAAGTACTGGTTGATCGGAGGTTTAGCCTCAACCAGTATTACGTAATGAGAAAAAAATTTTTGATGCAAAAAATAGAGCGGCTCCATGTTTGCAAATTCCGGGCTGATCATCCAGATCTATTTGTCTTTTTCTCTGTGGTTTTGTTACCTAGGCAAGACTACGTTTGGGGATGTTGAGGATGATACAGTCTGCCCCAATTCTAACCAGGCCAAAATCGGCATTGCGGGAGTCCGCGCCGCGAGGGTTTTGCGCCACATCTGCGGCTAGCTAGTCTGCTTTCTCCTCGATGTCTTCACTCTCTGCGACAGCGCGCGTATGCAGCGCAATCCCCTAGCGCTGTGAGCGCGCAAATTCAGCCGACGGTTCGGCCTGATCCCGATTTGGGCAGACCATAGGTTGCCTTCTTATTGATGCATAAATCCCATCTCTAATCTGTATCAAGACTTATGCAACCGCAACCTATCTAACCGTCAAATGCTAATCTAGCTAGTAATTGTACTGAATCAACCTTTTAGCTCAGCTTTGGCATCGTTTTTAGGTTGCTGTAGTGATACCATATCGAGATCGTGAAAGACATCTTCGGATTCTTTTAAACAATATGCACACGTTTCTTACCGAACAGGAGCTTGACTACTCCATTTTTGTGGTTGAACAAACTGTTAATCAGACTTTCAATCGTGGCAAGGTGAGACATTTCGTGTGCTCTGAAAATGCCTAGCGATAGTTTTGAAAAGCAGCATCTAGCTACTGAATGTCGGTTTCATCGAGGCAATGAAGCTGTACGACTGGGAGTGCATTTTACTACATGACGTAGATTTATTACCAGAAGACAAACGAAACTTGCATCTGTGCCCCAAGCGAAATCCAAAACACATGGCTGTTGCAATGGACAAATATAATTACACGTAAGATTGCTTCTTTAAATGGGAAAAAGAGCAAAGTAATGTCAGAATATGACAGACTATTTTATCAAAGAATGTTTGGCACAAGTTCTATGTTCACTATCAAACAGTATCGTGATGTAAATGGACACTCTAATCGATACTGGGGATGGGGCGGAGAGGACGACGATATTTATACGCGGTAATTCTTAATTTTCCAAAGCGCATTCTGAAAATTTTTGAAGTTTCGTTAGGTAAAAGAAACCAGACTTGCAATAGATCGAAGGAAAAAACAGGCTGTGATTGCATCTTATTACAGAACCTACTTGGCTGGATACAGAGTGGAACGATACAATAACACTATTGCCAGATATACAATGATCAGGCATGGAAAAGATGTCGAAAATCCAGTCAATCCGTGAGTTCCCGTTGGATAAACATGCCCGAAAGTTCTGAAGAGCAATGGAAAAGCTTTTTATGTGGCAAGAGGAAGAAGGTTCTTATGTATAGTAGCAAACGCCGACTAGTTAGGTGACTACTGATAATACGTGCTGCTAATAACGCTTGCAAAGGAATTCAAATCTGTGTAGAAGAGAGAACAAGCGGCAATATTGACTCTGCTTGAAGGAGCGTCCTGAGCTTCTGAAGTGACTGAGTCCGCGCTGAACTTCAAACTACCCGAATGTAAAACTTAGGCGCTATTCTACCGCATTAAAAATCGAAATAAATCAGATAAAAAACACTGAATCTTTGCAAATCTTGCTGGAAATGGAAGCTTCTTTATGTATGATATTCAGGTGCCGATTCTCACTGTTGAACCACACAAAAGCAGACTGGAAATTGGATGGTTTGAGCTCACTTCACTACAAATTGTTAGACATAAGGCTCAAGCCTCTTTATACGCATATTTTAGTGGACTTGTTAGAACGTGAAGAACGGCCTAAGTTAAAACATTATTGTAATCAAACGCGAGTTAATCTCTCTTCGGTTTCTCATAGATGAGTACCCATTCCACGCTCATTCAATCAAAGCTCCTTTCTTTTCTCTCATTTGGTGAAATCTACCTTAGCGATGTCAGCTACGTACCTCGTTTTCACAACTTATCTTGTTAGTATTTATAGACACCGCGGGTTTGTAAGGTTGGGTCAGACTGCGTGGCGTACGCGATTACGCAGCGTACGCACACGTGCATTAGATATGAGACGTCGCCGCGTACGCCGCGCAGTCTGGCTCAACTCTAAGGTGAGTTCATGCTGACCCATAACTTCCGAATCAGCTCCAGCACAGCGCTGAAATTGTGCATTGTGCTGGAACTATTTCGGAACTTAGGATCAGCATGAATGCAGTCTAAGTAACTCGATGAACATCAGTCTAAAATTCATCACTTGAGGACCTCTCAGAAACATAAATGTTTGATAGCATCATCTCCAATCAACAGAAAACAGTGTATGCTAACCTTTACGTATCGCCTTTTCCATGGGTAAAATGTTAAAAACATCTCTTTCTCCTGATAAGCACGTATTAGCTATGCGTATATGACAAAGTTATCTAAATTTATTCAAACGGATTTGTACAATATTTCCTTGCACATTTCGTATTACTCTCTTTAGCCTTCTCCTCTTAGGCCCGTATGCACGTACATCCGCGCTTGAGAGGGGAAGAGATCTGAAAGGGGATGCGTCACATTTCGGTACTCTAGGTATCTTTCTTCTTCCTTCTCTATATTGCTTACGAAGGTTCTCATACCCTAATACGCATAATGGATTCCAGGTTACAGGCATAATTGATTAGGTTTTCACTATTTTGTGTGATCTCCTGCGGATCCCTGGGGAATCACTCAATTTTCAGTGCCGTTTATCTTCCTGAAAACTAATGAAAACGTTGTAAAATTGTACTGTGGATATACTACGGCATTGCTAAAGATGTTTATAGTAGAAATAAATGATTCAGGATATCGAAATCTTTGGTAATCCCTAGCTCGCGAGCCAGGGATCATCGAAAAAATTCACAATTTTCAGATTCCATTTCTCCTGTCGAAAACATGATTAGCAGTGCCGCACTATATCCTCAATACAATTTTGCAGCGTTTTCATTGACTTCTCAAGAAGATAAACCACTTTAAAAACGAGAGGTGATTTTCAGGGGATCCCCTGGGGATCAAACAGAACGGCAAAAAACCCAATGTTCTATGTAACCTGGCATCCATTATGCGCAGGTATAAGTATATGAGAAACCTCATAGCAAGATAGAATAGGAAGAAGAAATATATGTAGAGTAGCGAAACATGACGCATCCAATTCAAATCCCCTCCCCTCCCCAGCGGGGATGTACGTGCATACGGGCCCTAATGCTTGCCATTGGCTATAGCGTATGCAATTACTTTCTACCACTTATTATGCATCTTTTAAATAAACATGTTAATCAGTTGCACGATCACGCTCTTGAACAGGACCAAGATTCATTGACCAACAAACTCTTCAGACAGGTCCGTAGATGCTTGGAAAGCGCTACCAATGCTGCAGACGATAGTTGATGTAGACATTGTTTGTTTGTAAAGCTACTTATCTCAGCCAAACACGGAATTAATGAAAGCATTGAAACCAGATTCTAGCAGCATCTTCAGCTGGTGTTTGTTCCAATAAATCTTTTGAAGGCAACGTCCGCCAGAAGGTCTCGTAAAAATCTCCCACTTCCTTGCGACGCCATCCTCCTCGAATGACTCCTCAGCTCTCAACGCGTTTTCACATGGCAAACATAATCAAACACATGCCGTTAACCTGTTAATGCTTGCTTTCGACAAATATAATACTAGATAAAAGAAAAAAAGGTTCTTTGGAATACTCCGTTTCGTTCCTTTCCTTAGACGGAGTAAAGGAGCTCAGAACTCTCCCCGGAACTCCTCAGTAAGGAAGGAGAGTTCATGAGTTCCTGTGTATATTTGGAAACAGTTTTAAGACAAAATTTTTTATAAAATTGTTGTAAAAATTTGACAACTTACTTTTTTTATATACTCCGTCTTATATTATAATATATTATATAACAATAGTAATATATGATATATCATTTGTGTTGATTATATACTATATAGTAGAGTAGTGACCATATTGGTAGATGAAGGAATAAAATGAAACATGCTAGTGTTTTTGTAGTTGAATTTATTTATTATGACATAACTCATTTTGATACTTTACTCATTTTCTACTTTACTGAATTGGTTGTTTATAATAGATTTATATTTAAATAACTATATTGATTTAAAATATGTAATATTGATTAGGATTGAATGATTTTGTATAGTTATAGATTGGTGTATGACATATATTAATTAACTATAATTTATGTAGATTATGATGTAGAATGTGTAATAATTTTTTAATTTTATCATAATTGTAAAATTTGTATTTATATAGTATAAAATTATTTTTATGTAGGCATTTGAAAATATTTGAGTAAATCATATTTTCATTGCATCCATTGCAAATAAGTAAATTTCGTAACTGTATTATTTTTTTGATAAAATCATCAAGATAAGTGCAAGTACGGGCAATTCTTAAAGTTTCTGTGTAAATAATTGCGTTTTCAATGTGTTTGGATACACCAGAACTAATGTGTATGAATCTTTTTACTTGAAAAGGGAAACTATCAGTTTTGTTATACATTTTGGTTATGATTTTGTCATTAATGATTGTAATATGTAAGTCTAAATAATTACATTGCAAATTATCTATATGAGTAGTTTCCAAACTTAGTTTGTTATCATATATGTTTTTGATCATATTGTGAACTGTATGTTCTGTGCTATTGTGTATGATTAATAGATCATCCATATAACGAAATGCAAAAAGTTGTTTATTGTTATTTACTTTATTGATTATATACTTGTATTCATACCAAGATAGTGTCAAGTCTGCTAATAATGGACTAAAATTACCGCCCTGTGGCACGCCTATTTTTTGTTTAAAAATGTATGTGCTAAATCTGCAAAAACTGTTATCAAGAATATAATCAATATAATACAATAAATCTGAAATGGTGTAGTTTCTGTAGTTAGATTTTGTGTTTATATTATCGATGTAGTATATTTTGTTGAATCCATTATAAGTTAGATATTTTTTGTTTGCATTTTTAAAGCATAATTTGAGAAGTTCTTTGAGGTTGTTTTTTATTATGTTATGTGGTAGGCTAGTAAACATATTTGTAAAATCAGCTGAGTATAATTGCAAGTTATTCATGTTGATACTGGATAGTTTATCACTTATGTTAGTGTTGTCTATTGACCAATAATTATATGAATTTTGTTTTTTATATTTAATCGTTTGTACATAGTTTTTAAAATGTATTTTTATGTGTTGAAATACATATTGTAATTCTAAAGCAAGGGGTTTAATGCTACTGTGTGTAGCTCCAGTGATGAATCTGAATTTGGTAGGGTTTTTATGGAGTTTTGGTACACAGTATAGTAATGGTATGTTGTTAATATTTTGTAGTGGTAATTTGTTATTTTTGCAAAAGTCAATGTGTCTTTTTATTATGTCATTAGCATTTTCTTCTTCATATAAATTATATGTTTCATTTTTATTCAGAACTTCATTTTTCTTATCAGACGTAATTCCTAATTCTTTCATTATTGTTTGTATGTAGAATTTTTTACAAATAATACCGAAGTTATTACTTGCTTTATCAAGTGGACAAATTACAAATTGATTTTTAAGGTTTTTTATGTATTTACATTCAAAATTGTAATTTTGTTCGTTTGGGTCTTGTTTACTTTCTAGTCTGGTTTTATAAAGAAGTGGTTTAAATCTAAGTTTTAATTTTTTGAAAAGAAAAGTTTCTATGTTTTTAAGCTCTTCAAGTTTGAGTTTGTATTTCTTGATGTAAGTATTCATAATGAGTTGAACCGTTGACTGGATCCAATCTATTATTTCTTTTTTACTGGCGTGGTTAGGTATCCTGTATTTAGTACCTTTTTTCATTATGGATCTTAAATGTTTGTCTTCAACTATTTCAAGGTTTCCAGTAATGATATGTCCATGATTGTTATCAATATATTGTTCCATCTGTAATTCTTTACATTTACATTTTTGAGTGAGAATTTGATTTATTTCGTTTGTATCAAGTTTAGCAAGAATGGAATTGTAATTAAAAATTTGCATAGAAATTGGATTTTTGTATTTATATACAAGTCTGCATGGATTGTAATTTATTTTTCTATTTTTGAGAATGTTTTTTATGTAATTATTATTAATAATTTTATTAAGGTTAATTTCGTCTAGTATATTATGGATATATTCAACGTTGATATTGTTATATTTAATATTTTGTTTTTCTTTTTTGTTGCAACTGAACATGAATTTGCAAAGTATACTAAGAATAGTTATTTTTATATTTTGTTCAATTTTCATTAGAAATGTGGGATCAAAACATGCTGCAATTACTTGTTTTATGAAACTTTTTTTCAATGAATGGATATATTGAAATAAATCTTGTAGTGTGCTTTTACTATTAATAGTATTCAAGAATGAATTTAGCGTTTCTTTATTTTTATTTTTATGCCTGCATGCTACGTATTCTGTCTTTAGTTATTTTCAAACTATAATACGGATGTGTTTCTTTTTGTAAAAGAGGATTATCAATATTGGATATATTCCCATATCCTTTAATATTGTCATTTAATCCAAATGGATATGCTGTGTTGAGTAATTTAATCCAGAATAGTTCTTTATTTATCAAAACATTCTTGTCTTTATTGTTTTCTAAACTGTCTAGTATTTGAACTGTTATACTTCTATTTGTGCATGTTTTGAAGTGATTATATAGAAAGTTATATAAATCATTCTTTTTTGAATGAT